CCCTCACCCCCCCCGACCCCCTACCACTGCCTGTTTATAGCTAAGTTACATTGTCTGTTGTCGTTGTCAATCACCGTGTCCAAGTCTCACCTCCGTTACCATCACTTCTCTCTCCGCTCCCTGTCTGCAGAAAATTCGTCTGGTAAATAATCCCTCTGCTGTAATTAATGCTTCATCCATTATGAGAAAGGCTAATGAAGCGCTAACACAACGGCTAATGGTTTATCTTTTCATTTCTCTTTTTTTTTTTTTCTTTCTCTCCCACAAGTTAACACTTCAAACTTGTGTTGTTAATTGTTCTGTTTGAAAAAATAAATAAATACAAAATACAGAGATCAGTAGAACAGAGATGTGATTAAACTGACATCTGATCTGGTTGTTTAGAAAAAAAACTGACTTGAACTGAAGACGGTCCCTAAGTCTGACTAATAGATTTTATACATTTATCTCATAAATAATTTGGATCAGTGAGAGTTTAGGTTCAGGTCTGTATCTGTAATTATTAAGGGTTAGTGCAGAGGCCAAACAAGGGCCCAGGGGCCAGAAACAGCCCGCTGGACCTTCAAACCCAGCCCAGACGTCAAATGTATCACCACTGCTTCAAAGTTGAAGGTTTGAATCTTCTACATTCTACAACCTGTACCAAACAGGCCCGCAGGTCAAAGGTTGAACCTCATTTTTGGCCCGTCAGCCAAAGACTGACAGTTAGGGGACGTATATGTCCATGTATATATTTATCCTCACAACTCATGAAAACCAGCCTGTGTGTGTGTGTGTGTGTGTGTGATCAGCGTCTTACTTCCTGTCCTCTACGTCGTGGCTCCAGCTCATCGTACGGTGGGACCATCCCTTCTCTCCTGGCCTGCTGGTACTCTCGTCTCAGCTGCTGGATCCTAACCCCCCCACAGACACACACACACACACACACACACACACACAGAGAAAACCCCAGATTAATCACACGGTCTCGACGCCCCAGGTCCACTTGTCTGTTGTTGTTAATTATTACTTTTCTTTTTAAGAAAGGAGAACATGGAGAACATGGATCACATTGTTTTCCTTCCTTGGACATTAAGGAAGTAACAGGCGTCACGTCCACACGGCTGAACCCTGGGCACCTTCATGACTAATGCACACGCTCACACATCCACTCACCCACACATAATGGAAATATGGGAAGCCGTATCACACACACACACACACACACACACACACACGCTCCCTTATGCACCATTAGAACCGCGGTGTGATATTTCACCAAACAAGTCGACGAAGGAAGGAGCGAGAAAACACATCCACCGTAGGATTT